TTTGGCCGAGCTTCTCCTCCAATTTGCGGTGTGAGACTTGATGTTGTTACACAATTGGAGGGACCTTAAATTTTACACCGCCTCCGAAAGGCCAATGGAATTTATAGGAACATATTTCAAGGCAGAAATATAGGTACTTGGAGGTTGGCCCTTATGTGCCGAGGGACGACCGCTGTTAAAACTTTATCATTATTTTCATTTATTTGAAGTGAAAGCATTAGTTTACATTAAGCTCTAAATGAAGAGCTGTATGCAGCTCTCAAGAAAAATGACTGGAAATATTTTTCATTATTTCTCTTGAAGAAATAAACATGCGAGCATTATTTTCTTCTGAGCTGCATACTGATTTAAGAAATTTTGATAGAAGAAAATTTATTTTCCATTTTTTGTGCGTCATTTTATATGCATTTTTTGTTTTTCTCGAGAGCTGCAGAAAGCGTTTAAATCTGAAAAAATGGAACGCTTAAAATGATGATCCGATTATTTTTTCTGGAGTTTTGTAGGAAAATAGTTCTTAATCTTAAAGAAACAGGCGTTGACTTTTTAATCACACGCATTGTGTCTTTGACAGGGTTCCAAGACGCCATTTGGCCAAACAAGCTTAGGGGATTCCTTTACCCTGGGATTCAGTAATTCACCCTGGCATTCAGTAAGCGGTCTCGAGGCACTAATAGTGACTTTTGGCGGTGAACTTGGATTTTGAGACTTTGGTATTCAGTACGCTGTCTCACGTCTCTAGTCTCAAAAAAAGTCACTAATTTGTCAGCTCGCTAAGAGCAAGTCTCAAAAATAAAAATATAGAGAAAAAGTTAATTGCTTTCCATTTCATAAAAAAAAGCGAATATGAAGCGAGGAAATTTGTTCAATAAGAATTTCGTTAGGAAATAAACCAAAATGCTTTAATATTATACATATCCATTGAAAAAAATAATATTTTTTTTTAACATTAAAATGTAAAGATTATTAACAAAATAAAAATTATAAAAAAAAATATAAAAAACCCTCGACCCGGACCCCCTCGACCGGCAGCCTAATGCTTTGACCATTCGGCCATTGCGACTCTTCGGGCGGTGCGGTACATAAACGCTATCAGTTGACTGTCTGTTTTCACCACACATTTTTGGTGAACTTTTTGTGACTCTCTCCAACTGAATAGCCAAGACATCTCAAGTCACAAAAGTAGTCACTAATTGCTAATCTCAAATTTAGTGACTTGAGATGAGACTGTTACCAGGGTTAAACTGTGTAAAACTCGCAAGTTTACGAGGCTGCTACGGTAACGCCCCCTTTTGCAAATATGTAAACAGATGCGTGAAGTAACTGTTTGACAGGTTGAAAAGGGTTTTGTGAAAACATTTTGGTTTCGTATTATGTTTTATAACAGCCCCACAGCTCGAGTGAAAGTTAAAATATAATTAAAAATGCGAGAATCAGCAGAAAACCCATGGTAATACAGTTAGTGTATGAAATTGAATCATTTTATTCGCCTATTATTTTTTTATTTGTTCTCAGTATTTTAGCATACATTTTAGTAGAAAACCTTCGGCCCCTCGGCAACACTGAAGTTTACGAGGTCGTTTGATAGTTCCTTTACGAGGCTCGTAAATTTACGAGCTTTACGAGTTTAAGGAAAGACCCCTGCTTTAAAACCAAAGGAAAGTAGGTCTGCATTGGGCCAGTCAGTGTTGCCATTGTAAGACTAAAGGGACAATTTAATCCTTTTTTAGCGTCAATACCCTTTGACTCGACTTAATGAATATTTAGATTCTTGACACTTTTTCAAAATTATGTGCGACTTTTGGCCCTTTTCAGAGATTTTTATAGGAAATGCTAACTGAACCATGCTACTAAAAAATATTTCCTCCTGCAAGGCCAGTATGCAGCTCTCAAGAAAAGCAAAAACTCCATATAAAGTAGCATACATGAAATCACTAAGAAATTTTCTTGCGTCTACAGCCTTCAGGCTGTACGCTGTTCTTATCAGGTTGCTCCGTTTTCTACTACGGTTTTCTAAAGTTTTTTGGTGAAAACAGAGCTCAGGCAACACCGAGTGCGAAACTCATAACCAAAAACTCGCCAAATAAAGTTTTTTAGAGTTTTTCGGAAGAGAAGTGTACATAATATTGACAGTTAAAACTTCACACCTCACTGAGAATTCGCACTTGCTGGATCGCAAAATGAGGAAGTGTATACAATTTAGACAGCTAAAACTCATTCTGACACTTACTGAATCGCAAAATGAAAAGCGCACACAATTTTCAATGTACACTTGAAAACTCACAGTTATAGAATCCAGTTCGTGGCGACCCTAAAATGGAGCATTAAGCGCTGCGTTTTCCATTGTCAACGAGTGTCAGCGCGCGTAATTTTTGACGTTTTCTCATTTCCTCTCGTTTTTATTCTCGTTTCATATTTCACTTTTTGTCCTTCCTCTTTCTTTACGTCTTCTGCATCCAGCTTCAACACGTAACGCTCTGTCAAAAATGAAAATTCGAATTGCTCGGCGCTAGCGCAGCGTTATTGTGGGATGCTCCATACAAATTGTGCGGCCATAAGGATTTTTATAGTTGTTTGGCGCTTGACACGCCAATTTATGGACGGCAGTATGCTTTCTTTTTAAATTCAACAACGGGGCATTCAAGCAGCGAAAAGACCCCTACAAGAATTTAGTCTGTTCCAATAGCAGTCCGGTTTACAGGATTTAGTCAGAACTTACAGGAAGTCGTTCCTATTGACATAAAACCTGTAAGTGGGAACACATTTGAGAGAGTAACTGGGCGACTGTTCCTAGTCAGAAGTTACAGGATTTAGTCCGGAGTTTTTTTTCCTGTAAGTTCATGAAAAGTGTCAAACGATCAGCTGATTTGCATGTGCAAGCAAAAACAAACAGCGGTGAAAGCAGAGTACCTTATATTTGTAAAAAAAAAAAGGAAATAAACAACGAAATGTTTGAATATGTATAGATTTTAATAATTATTTAGTGATATTTCAGCTAAATCAGTGTTGTACAAATCACATGTAAATAAACCGACTGACGTTTTTACAGGAAATAGTGCCTTTTGCGTTCCTATGCACTTCTGCATTCGTTTTACTCTCATTTGAGGGAGTAAAATTGTAGTTTGACAGTTCCACAGGTTTTAGTCCGAAGTTCAAAGGAACAGACTAATTGTGTGATGTAAACTAACACATTCTCATTTATCTCACTAACACATTTGTAAATTTTGTGTTGGTTAAAAAGAGACCACTAAATAAGACCATAAGTCGGAAGAAGACGGAAGATCACATGTACACAAATGTTTACATCACGTTTTGCATATTGCTCTTAAAAAGTTGATAGAAGAACTTGATTGAGATCTCCATCACCAGTGAGTATCACATGATTAATCAAATGACTATCACTGTTCTTGTAGGGACCTTATAATACACGTAAATTTGACTTTGACTTTGGTTCTAAGATTAATTATTTTACTAAATAGTAAAGAAAAGAGAAAAAAAATTTAGTGACTCTTTCTTCGTCAATGACCCCTTTTTGCGACTTTCTGAAAATCCTCAACGGCAATACTGTGGCCAGTTCCCTCGCGATTTTCGACCAGATTTTACCATATTTAACTAGCAATTGATTATATACTCGAACTGAGAACATAGTTATTAGGGGTCCCCATGAAAAGTGATAAACTATTGATAAATTTTAAAAAATTATAAATTTTTCATTTTGATAAATCAACTGTCAAACTTTGTATTGACATCTATTTAACCAAAGTTTATCACTCTATCAAACGATTTTGGTGGATAAACGTATTAATTTCAGCAAAACTCAACCCTGACAGACCGCCATAAAAAGCAAATTAGCAGAATGGACGAGGTAAGAATAAAACGTAACTAGCCAGATAAGTTAAATAATAAACAATTTTGTGCAATTATTTACCAAGGTGCGTTATGAAAGAATGCGGATAAAATGATAAATTTAAGCAATTTGTCCCTTTAACACTTTAGATGAAGACCCCTATTATTTGGAAATTTTTTGGATTTAGACCATAGATGGGCACACCAATACAGTCTCATTTTGTCATGGTATTCGTGAATCGCGCTGAGTAACAGTTGCCACTTTTCTATATTGTACAAAAGTGCGTCGTTTTTTGCGCGTGTTAGAAAACGCTCTTACAAATTTATATTTAATTTGTATTATGAACATGAAACGAAAATAATAAAATATAATAAAAAAATAATGAAGAAATAATTTCAAATAATGAATTATGAAATTAATTTTTATAAGTACATATGTACGAGCATGAAAAGTTTTTTAATTTAATTTCATTAAACTAATGTTTTAAAAAATGATAGTTTATTCAACAACAAAATTCACGAATTTAAAATTTCTAAACTGTGTATTCAACTCTTCAACTTAAACTCAGTATTCAATAAAGTATACTAAATATATTAAATTTCCGTATCGTACATACATATATACATAAAACCCATTACAAAAAACTTTAAATTGGTTTACACAGTTCGGCAGTTTGACTTTTTTACCATGACAAATAATGTCGCCTTATATTAAAAGAACGATTCCAAGTAGTCGTATTACCACATAACAAGCATTGGGCGTTATTGGCTTTTCTTAAAACCAAAAACTGTAATTGGCACTCATACGCAGCCATTTTGGGCATTGTTACATATATAGGTGGCAACAACGCGCTAAAATTACGAATAAAAATATTCAACGGCGAAGCGTAGTGTCACTCTCATGAAAACTGAAAGCAGACTGAATAGAAATTCGCTGCGTCGTTTCTGTATACGTATAAGCGCTGCGACGCAGACGCTACTCGCGAGTAGCGTTTTGCCCATCATTGATTTAGACAGAAAAGTACGAGGTTAGACCGAATGTGTTGATTGCGACATGTTGCTAGGGATATCGAAAGCAACAGCCTTTTTTGTTTAATGAAATTCTGCTGGTATGGCAACATGTGTACCTTCGGTTTTTTTAATTTGCTTTTACCTTGACATTCTGCGTACGCTTCGGAAGTTTGACAATTCAGCACAGTTTAATTTGCAGAACTCTCGAAGACTTTCATTTTTAACAAATTATAATAGTTCTGCAAGTATACATTGAAAATGTCCGAAAATAATGGTAAGCCCTTAAAGCCAATGGAAAAGAAAGTTTTTCCAACGCACGTTATCTAAATGCGTTTATGTGCCGAAATAAAAGTATGTAGGAACAACGGGCGGCACATACAGAGAAGCAGAGAAAAACTTGCGAAAATTTCTGGAAGTACATATAAACCGGCAGTTACACGTTTTGCCTTTATTCCTACAGATACCTCTAACGAATCGAACAGCCTTGGAAGCGATTCAATCCTACAATCCTCGCGGTTGACCGGTGGCGGTGTAAATCCTGTTCTACGTTCAGGGGTATTGCGCCCCTCAGTGCTCGGTTCATCAGTTTCGGGAGCAGCAGCATTAGCCAATAGCAATAACAATTCCCTTGGTAATGCCAATGCGTCTTCCAATTCCACAGCCACAGTCAATAATGTGGACGGAGACGAAGAGGATTCCGTGAGCAGTACAACCAATCATAATCCTTTTATGCGGGAACAGAAAGACGATGATGAGGAGGCAGAAAATAATGAAGCAAGTGCTGATGAAGGTGCTGTTGGTGGCGACGCAGCAAATGATAGCGAAACAACAGATGATAAAAAAGCGGCAGACGATGATGAACCGGATGAAGTATGATGTGGATGCTTTATTTATTTCGCTAGTAATTCTTTCATACATATTTTGTTTTAAAGCGCACGGATCCTTTAACATTGTTGCGAAAAAATGGATTAGAAAGAGCAAATCTTTTTGCTGCCGCCAAGAACTCTATACCATTGGTGGAAAAATCCGGCTTTGTATTTGGCCAAAATGTGCATGAACGCGTTGTAGGGGTAATGCTGATTTTAATTAAATTTCAATTATATTTATACATACGTTTTAGGCATGATTCAAAATTGAATCATGCGTCTTATCAATATAATTATGTTATTATGTTCTAAAAATGTTAAAAATTGTTTGTATTTCCAAAGGAAAATGTCAACCCAGAGGGAGCAGCGAAATCGGAAAATGCAGACGCCGGTTGCTCTACTTCTGCTGAATTGCTGTTCTCCAGTGTCATACAAAATGCGGCTAAAGCCGGTGAGAGTGACAAAGGTGCTGCACCAAAAGATAATGAAACAAAGACACTTACTGATGTGGCGCGTGAGTACGAGGAGAGTCGGGCTCAGAAACGGAAATATGAAGAGGTAGAAACGTTCACGGGTGAAGAAAATGAAATTAATATTGTTGATGTAAGTTTCATCAAATAATCAGAGTAATTTAACCCTGATACCTTAATATGTCTCATCACATAAACTTTGTCTCGATGTAGGTCAATTGTAAGTTGTTTGCCTTCGTCAACAGCAACTGGGAGGAACGCGGACGTGGTAGTTTACGTTTGAATGATTCAAAAAACGAACAAGAGTGCTCACGTGTTGTTTTTCGAACATCGGGTAACCTGCGTTTATTGCTGAACACGAAAGTTAGTTGATTATTGGCTCAATTTAGTATTAAATCTAGCTGAAAACAAAAAGGTTTATTTTATAATATTATGATTAAACTTTTTAATTTTGCTAATATCAGGTTTGGGCCGGCATGGTTGCTCAACGTCCCAGCAACAAATCACTACGCCTTACTGCCATGGATAATACTGGCAAAATCAAAATCTTCTTAGTGATGGGACGCCCTGCAGATATGTCATTGTTGCATAAAGAGCTGATAAAACGAATCGAACTGCGAAAAGCTTCGCATCCGGAAGAATGTCGAGCACCAGCTGAAACGAAAAACGGTGTCGAATCCGGTGCTAATCACGAGGAAGAGGCAAAAGAAGCAGAAGCTACAGCTGTACCGGAAAACGAAGATTGTACGCAGCCAAGCCCAAAAAAATCGCTTGCTACTGAGGGAGAAAAGTAATACACCGATTTTTTAAAGTAACAATAATACAAATAATATAAAACTCATAAGTTATAATTTGCAAATGAAAAATTAACAAAATCTTCGAAAATAAGAACGTTTGGAAAAGCATGCATGAATTGCATAGAACCTGTGAATGCGATCAATAATGAATATTCCAATTTGGACTGAAAGTAGAAGCAATTATAAAATGAAAAACACTACGGAAAATTAGTACAGATTTCTTTTTTATTGTATAAACAACAACGAATAATGAAACAAAGTAGAATATATTAAATCAAAATCTTGATAAAATTACAAAAGAAATACAATTGTTTATACAGATTTATGGGATACTCCATTTCGGTAGGCAGTACATGGAAAAACATTATGAAGAAGCATGTAAATGTACAAGCGATGGTGCTGTAAGGGAATAAACCATTGATTTAATTTTTTTTTTAAATATGCATAATTTTCCAATATATAATTAAAACGCTTACTCACATTCAAAAATTTATATAAATTAAATGAAATCGCTTTTTTATTGACAAAGTTTTCATTTATAATATCACATTTTGTGTTTATAGATACCTAACTTATTACCGCAAAAAACACCGCTAATAACTTCATATCATTTTATACTATGTGTAAGCACTTTATGTGTAGGATATTTAAATTGTTTTAGAAAGCCTACTGAATTTCTAAATACACATTTTGTGTTTTATATGCAAAAACCTACAATGTTTATTTGTTTTTAAACAATGAATTGTAGTCTAAATGAAAGTAAAGTTAAGATGAAATGAACATTTGAAAAGAAGAGTATCAAAGATAAAAATAAATTTAGATTTCTGTTCCTTGTACTACATACAAACTGGACTTTTAATATCTCTTGGCGGTTTGGGGTTAAAGCTTGAAAAACTGAATGAAACTTTCATTATGAAAGTGTAATTTCGGTTGACAATATTGGGATTATTTGTACACTGAAAAGACTTCGTGTTTTACCATACTTAACAAATCAATAAATGAAATAAAAAATTGAATAAAGGAGCTTCTTATTTGTCGAATTGTGCTTTGAATATTGACGTTACTTATTTTAAAGTTTAACTTTTATTCAAAATAATGCTTATTACCATTGTATACACATATTTGTTCTACTTTATGCATATGTATATGTGGTTGGGGATTATTTTTAATTGGTCATATGCACTTATGAACCACAATAATCTCGCAAAATGGTTAAGGTGCTCGTGTAACATTCACCTTGGTATATGTTGTTGTTGTTGTATCAGCATGCAAATTGACAGTTCTTGGCAAAGATATTAATCTGGGTCGCTCGGGTACATACTTTTACGTTGTATATCGTTAAAACTTGGCGTTTCTTTTATAAAATTTTTTTTCTTCAATACATACAGTTACTCCCAAAATGAGCGTACGGCTCTTTTTTGTTAATATTTGCCATGTTTTACATGGTAAATATTTTTTGTTAATTTTATAACTAAAATATGACTCATATTTTAGCAACATCCATTTAAATCCAAGACACTACAAAAATTAAGAAAAATCTGCAAAGTTTCAGCATAATCGCGAACTTTTTAATACGAATTTCTAAAAAGAATTCTGGTATGCAGTTTTATAGCCCATTCAATTTTAGGATAATAATGTGCAAATTTCATATGTCTAAAAATTCGCGTTGATTTTTGAGAATTTTTTGCTGGCTGTCCTACGATTTTTTTTTCATATAAAAAAACTGACAAGCCATATTTTAAAACAAAATTAACAAAAAAAATTTAACATGCAAAACAAAAAAGAGCTGTAACCCAATGTTTACTTTTAACGTTGCCTGATAACTGTTCTGCAGGAGAAATAGTTTTCCGTCACCAGTAAGAGTTATTTCCCAACGTTTACTTTTACGTTGTCTGATAACAGTTAGTGCACTTCTCTACTTTTATTTTCATCACCTTTATCTTCTTCTTCATCTCCATTTTCGTCATTATTTTTATCTTAAAACGTTTATCAGACAACGTAAAAAAAAAACGTTGGACAAAAACTGTTATCAAGCAACGTAAAAGATAAACGTTGGGTAATAACTAATATAAAGCAACGTAAAAATAACCGTTGGGAAATAACTGTTATCAAACAACGTAAAAAATAAACCTTGGGTTATAACTCTTATAGGCGAAATAAAAAATATTTTTCATCTGATAACTGTCATGAAACAACGTTTTCGTTAAATTTCAGAATTCGGGCAATGTTTTCGATTTGTAAATTCGAGATAACAGTTATTTTTGGTCCCTGATTAAAAGATATGTATTTAAAGTTGTGACTGCTGGAACATGTCCTTTTGACTGGTGTAAAGTAATTATGCATGAAGTAAAAGTTTCTATAGAAAAAGATTACAACTTCTTATCACTTTTTAATATTTTCCACACAAATTAATACTACTAGGGTTTTTTTCCATATGTATTAAATTTATGCACAACATACATTGTGTTACAAAACATTTCCGATGGATGCGCGTTAAAAAGAGTCTACTACTGAAATAAAAGTTGCCATCCCGTACGAGTCCGGACTAGTCAGAAATAGTCATATTCAGTCAGATTTTACTGGAAATCGATCCCGTACTCGGTTCTCTGACTTTTGAGAGGACAAAAAAGAGAGTAAATACGGTTCTCTCTCTGTCAGAAGTTACCAGTTTTAGTCCGAGAATTTTTTTGCTGGTAAATTCTGGTAAATGTGTCAAACGATCAGCTGTAGTGTGTTTGGCAACCAAATTGTAAACAAAAGAAAAGTGTACTCTGCTAATTCATGTTGAAAAGTATTTAATTACTATAATAGGAAGATTTGTATGCAATTTGTGTATATGCAACCGCTATGTGAAGGGGGGGCGACACCCCCCATACAAACCGAATTTCTCATACTGCATATCTCTGCAATTGTCATGATAGAGTACTGGAACTTGGTATGGATATATTTATGTATATGTAATGAATCCCATACTCATAAAAAAATTGGGTCTATTTGAAAAGGGAGTGAGGCGCCTCCCAAACATATTGAAACTTTTACCTATCTCTGTATGTACATATATGGGATATTCCACCGTCACGGCTGAAACATTTGTATAGTTATTTTTAAATTTAAGTATAAAGTACTCAACAATTCTAGATTTTGATAAAGCTACACCTAATTCACTATTATATGAGTTATTACCAAATACGAAAAAATTTACCGCTTACTTTTATATGGGAAATAATCTGAGTTATTTCCTCTGACACGGGTGGAACAAGAAAAAGAACCTGCTTTTTGGGGCAGATACATATATTTTACGGAAACTGCGAATTTGAGTATTCAATTTTTTTGTGTGAACTTGATGCCATGAAATAAAAAAAGACCCTCAAATCCTAACAAAGCAACAACTAAAACAAAAATTATTGCTTTATTATAAAAAAAAAACAACCAAATTCCTCTGTCTGTCAAAAATCCGAAATTCCCCTTGTCACGGGTGGGACACGTACGAATTTTTATATAAAAAGAAGCTTTTAGTGTGGTCCATATTAAAGATTGGTTATTAAAAAATATGAGAAGACAAATAGGGGTTAAATTCAAACACGTTTTATCTTAGGATAGTGCCCTTTATAAAGAAGAAAATGCCTAGCACCGTCAGCCAAAAAAAAATTATTAAAAATCAACGCCATTTTCTTGCGTATTGAAATTTTGACTTTTACCTACTTACATGTAATGGGCTATAAAGATGCACACCTAGAATTTTTCTAAAAAAAAGCTTTTGGTGTAATTGTTATAGTTTGTTGAATTTTTATATTTTTGTACGTAGTTTGAAATTAAATTTTGTTTTTGTTATTTAATTTTTATTGAGCCTGAGGCCGTTTTCAATGAAAAACTTATTGTGGAAAAGCAACAATAACGTGAAAAAATGGCAGAAGTGATAGCTATTTCGGAAATCACCACATTTCCTCATCAGACTTCTTTCAGTAGGCTTCGAACCGATGATCCCACTGACTTAGCCAGTTGCTTGCGCACTGTGCTAAGTTCGCCTTGTAAATTATCGATGCTTTTTTCCCACTTTTTCATTTTTGTTATGCCAACACAATCAAGCGCAGTTATTCCGCAGTTATTCTATTTTTAGAATGTTTAACTTTTAGGTGTGCTCGTCCTTAGGTTATTTGTTTGAAATTAAAAAAAAAAACTAGACGTTAAATAAACAAAAGAAAAAACCAAAACTGGTAAAAATGTCACTTAACTTATTTATCATGGAACTTCTGTAAAAAATAATAGCTAAGTTAAATGTTTTCGAAAAAGTTATTTTTTTTTGTCGGATAATCCGTGCCCAATCGGGTACGGTCGTGCTGGGGCGTTCCGGGCCTTAGTGACTTTTCTCCAATCGTGTTCAGGCGAGTTTTCGAACACGTATTCTTAATTCGTGCCGGGCCGGACCGGAAAAATTAAGCCCGCGCCCATCTCTACTTTCAATACAACCCATTTGAAACTCACTCAAGAAAATTACTTAGAACTTGATTTCCAAACGTAAAAAAGGTAATAAAAATGAATTTAAAGCTTTAATTTGTTATTTTTTGGTTAACTCAAGATGTTTACAAATGTTATACCTACGAGTTTGTTAGTTTTATTTAAAAAAAAATATTTTTGCACTAAGGTTTACTTTCTCATGCAACCTCCCATATATAATTCCAGTGTACATCTGTTTGTGAGTGAACCGATTTTAACAAATTTTTTGTGTGTGTGTTTGTGGGGGTCTCTGGATAGTTTAGGTTCACAGTTTGATCCGCCAGGTATTGCTGGAGTCGAGTTGTTACTAAAAATCGTATTTATGATCCGATTTGGCTCATATTCGAGGTAGTATCGGCAAAGATAAGGGCAATGCTATTGAAAATAAAAATTATAGTTTAAAAACTAAAACCTCCATATTATAATTGCCACTCGTACTGTCATCCGGTATGTAACTTGAGAATAGAAATCGCTGCATCTTTTAGGCGCATCAATATTACATAGTTACATCCCGAGCTAATAAAAGGAAGGTAAAAAGAGCCACTGGGTGGCGCTGGAGTCGAGTTATTACTAAAAATCGTCAAGTGAGAAAAAATGCCGTGAATGTACTATTACAGTGAGGCCTCAAGTATTCGACATAAAAAAGTAACAGATGCAAAGTGCAATTAACCAAATCTGGCAGCATTAGGGACAAGTAACTATGTAGATGTTGCATGTTGTTAGGTGCGCCTGTTATTATTTTGCAGATTTTTGGCGATCACAATGGAGATAGCGTGAAATATACAATTCCAGAATTTCTACAAAACTTCATCACTGCATTGCTGAGTATCTAGAATAACGAAATCATCGGTAACATGCAGAATAGATTTGCAAATGAAAAAAAAAAAAAATAATTTTTAAGTAGAAGAGGCTACCTTGCTGTTGAACTGTAGTTTTTTATGGATCCTTCTTTCTCATAGTACTAAAAAAATTTTTTGTTGATAGGCTCCTCTGCTCTCATGGCCTCAATTGTCAACGATGTATGAATATAATTTTTAGGAGATCAACAAGACCGATAATAATTTTTCAACTCACCTGCTTTCACACCGAAAGGTGCCTTTGAACAGTAGTAAAAACACATTAATTTGTCGTTTGTTTTAATAATAAAAATATGTATTCTATAATCTAATGATTTTTTTCTTGTTTGATACACATCTCTTCTAATCTAAATCCAATATAACATCACTACTTTAGAATAACAATTATCTGCACATGGATTGTAAAAACTAAACAAACAAAAAAACATTTATTGCACAAACAAACAATGATAATAACATAAGCAAAAAAAAAATAAGTATTACAGTTCAAATGACCATGAATTAATGTGAATTTTCATGTTTTAATTTTAATTACAAACACGTTCGCTACAACAAAATGTTTTTGTTTTTCGATAAGCAGTTTTTAATAATTTTTAATCTTACATGAACATCCCAAAAATTTTACGAACTTTTTAGACTAATAAATTATTTTTTATGCTTAGCAATTTGCTGTTACATACGATGTATATCATACGTTTTTAAACTTAAAATAAAATTACTTATATAAAATACTTTTTACAATTTATATACACATACATATGTACATACGTATTACATATTGCGTGATTGGTTGAATAAAGTAAAATCAACGATTAAAACATAATTGGAAAATTAAAAGAAAAACATAGTTAAGATTTCTGTTAAACTAATATTATGAACGTTAGCAGATTTGAACATGATTACATGAAAGGCTTCGGCTTCGTATGTGTGATGCGCGAAAGGAGCAGGTATTCATTCGGTATTCGGGTACAAACATCGGGTACATGCGTATGCGCTTACAATAAATACAATGGATGTAGTCGTATGTATGAAGGTATTGCAATCTTAAGTGTAAAATTACAAAGTAGCAGCATCTCTTATTTCTAAACTACAGTACATAGATGATGATATTATTGTTTACGCTAGGCATTTGCGACGTGATGTTAATATCCAATTTAGTTGCGTAATTTGAAAATTTAAATGATTAGATACCGATCCTTTGTAATCTTACATGTAAGATTTAGCGATCTGATGGTTGTTTTTCCTGCTAAATATTTCCCTGGAGCATCAGAGTCCATTTTTTAAATTTTCGATGGTTTGCTTATGCAGGGCTTATGAGGCTTTGTGATATGAAGTTGTTTGCTCAAAATGTACTGCTACGTAGTACACATTCTTCAAAAGTGTATTTATTCGAACACTAAAAACTGTTCTCATATTTTGCACAAGACTGTACACACACGTGTATCTCGTCACCTGAAATGCAAAATAACGTAACAACATCGTCACTGAAATGCAAAAAGTCGTAACTTATAAAAAATTCAAAATTCACTTTTTGATTGCTATGATGGATTTCATCGAATTACACATCGTTTTATGAAAAAAACAGTGACGATGTTGTTATGTTATTTTGCATTTCAGGTATCGCTCTGTGAACATTTTTAGTATATCATTTTATAAATAACCACATTTGAGTTCATACACTTTTGAAGCAAGTCAACAGTATTTATTTTTGATTTTAATAGCTATGATTTGTTATACAAAATTTTTATTCATACAGCACCGTGCATACGAATATGCGCATTCAATTTGAACTTTTGATGTTTGAAAAGTTAATCATTGTAACGCTTCACTGTAATACGACTAAAAGATATTCCTAAAAATTGCTATGAGTTGTATAACTATATATTTATATATACTCATATTTTTTGTTCCATTGATATTAGCCAGGTTTAGATTTGAAATTTATTTGAAGCTCTTCTGCTCTAAGCTTAAATGCCACCACATGTGTGTATGTATTTAATTAGTAGTTGGTAACACATTTTGCATGCATTTCTGTTTTCTTTTCTTACTCTCACTACTCTACTATCTACAGAAATAATTCTGTTCAAATATAATTGTCGTTGCAAATTTAACAAACTACTATATTTGTGTTTTTCTTTAATTTTTAATAGTAACATACATATTTTGCTTGTTATTTTTTTCAAAAAAGAAAGTGATAAAGTAATATATATATATATATATATTTTTTTTTTTCATTCACATTCAGTAAAACATCACTTTCAAATACTTTGGCATCTTTTGCTACGCATGATTTTTACCAACAGCGTTTGTTTTTCTATGTTTAAAAAAGAGGGTACACACTTTAACATATACATATGCTTTAGAAGGAGTCTGCTAAGCGATCCAGTAGCCCGCACCTCAATAGGCTAATTCGTTAAGCGATAGTCTCTGGATTTGACTGTACACAGTTCATAGTTAGGGATTGCTGTTAGCTTCAGGTTGCCTTCGGCGCTGCCGTTGTGCTTTTTTCTAACGAAATTTGTGCGTATATACAACTCATGCTTGCACAATAACTGTATACATAAGAATTGTTGGGCTAACAAGTGGAGCGTATGCTGCAATCTTAGCTGATATTACTGCAGCTTGACACGGTGACGTTCAGAGGATTAATTTTGCCACTAATTGCTATGGAAGACCTGCAAGTACGAACGAATGCAAACAAAGAGACACATATTTATAAAGGCAAGTTAAGGAGTGCAACATTAGAAATTAGTGCATTGTATGTAAAGTAAATATAACTCAGTAGCCACTACTTCAATTTTCAAACTTTTTTTTGAACTTTCTGTACTTTGTAGGCCTTCAGCCCCGCCTCTCCTTACACTCTTTGTACAAATGGCTCGGAACAATCCGCTAGCTGAGCTGTTTTTCTTTCAGAAAGGTTACAATTTTTCCCCAGCATGGTCACCAAGGCCTCATTACGGTCGCAACAACCTTTTTCGTTCTCGGCTTTCAATTTACGTTAACATCCGTCTTGATTTTTTTATTACCCGAGATACAGTATTTCTGCTAACTATAGCATCCCTTGCCATCATATTGAAGATATATTGCGGATTATTTACAAAAAGGGCTGAGTACCAGTTACTCATGAAATTTGTTGTGTAAACGTCTGTGTACGGCTTGCGAAAGCATTAGGCGATTCAGTTACATATATAAATATGTAAGTTTCGAAATGAAGAATTTCACTTTATTATTTTTTTCGGGCCAGTATACGAGTTATAAAAAATAACTACTTTGGGAATAGTTCAGGACTATTTCATCATCATTTCGAGACCGGTTTCGAAACTTCCCGAGCTAGTTTCAATATTGTTCTGAAATGGTTCTGAAAATGTGGTGAACTCGTCCCGAAATTCTCTCGAACAAATATTGAAACTAAATGGGCTCTAACTAGTCCCAAAATCTCCGTGAACTAAACCTGACATGTTCCTGAAATAGTACTGAACCAGTCTCGAAATGGTCCAGAACAAGTCCCAAAATAGCCCTCAAATAGTCATGAACTAGTCCCGAAATCATCCCGAACTAGACCGGAAACGGTCCTAAGCTAGTCGTGAATTAGTGCCGGAATATTCCTGAAATAGCCCTGACCTAGCCCAGGAATGTTAACTTCTACACACATTTAGAGATTTTCTGCTGGGTTACCCAAGAAGCAGTTAAAAAATTTCTGAGGGTTAACGCAAATTTTACTCATACCGAGAGCTAAGATGTTTACTACTCATTTATGCCGTGAAACAATCGATGATCGATGATGAAAAGTGGTAGAAAATCGTATTTGACATGTTTTCCAAAGCTAACCTGATCATAATAATTAAAATTATTTGCTTATGAAACACGCACTCCTTATACATATACACATTGAATTAAAATAGTGTAGATATGTATAATTTGCACTCACCTATTGTGACGCATGTGACTCTTTACGAGATCACTATTCACCAGCGCTGCCATAAGACTCAGTTCACCCGCCATCACTGTGGCGCATACAATTTGTGCCAATTTCTTTGCATTCTCTCCAGGATGCTCTTGATTAGCACCGCGCACACCAAGCATATCGAGACACGCGCCCTGACCGGGCAGCACTGTGCCACCGCCAACGGTGCCCACTTCCAGTGAGGGCATTGTGCAGGTCATGTATAAGTCTTCATTGTTATCGCCACAGCATTCCATGCCCGTAGAGCAATTGCTCGATGTAACATTTTGCGCTGGATCTTGGCCAGTGGCGAGAAAAACGGCTGTCACCATATTGGCTGCATGTGCATTGTTTCCTGCGCGAGCAAAAGGAATTGGTTAGGAAAATGAAATTTTATGAAAGTAATTGCAAGCCAATTTATAAAGCAGAATTATTAGTAAAAAAGAATTAAAGCTTTGTATATCAAATCTCACTTACCACCTACACTGCCCGCCATGGCACTGCCGGACATATTCTTCAACTTATTGCACTCCACCAGTGTTTTGGCGTCCGTTTTCAGTACAGTGCGCAGCGTTTGCGCGGAAATTATGCATTCAGTTACCACACGCTTGCCACGTCCTTTGATCCAATTGATGGCCGCCGGCTTCTTGTCGCAGCAGAAATTGCCACTCAACGATATAATTTGCATATCAGGAAATTCTTTTTTGATACATTTCAGCGCCATCTCAGCGCCCTTCGACACCATATTCATACCCATAGCATCACCGGTTAACGCTACAAAACGTATATACAGCTGCGGTCCATCCATTGCGATCAGACACTCCTTCAAGCGACCGAAGCGCGATGTTGAATCGAATTCACATTTAATTTTTTTGTAATTATTTTCATCGTTAATCCATCTTTTCGCTTCGGCTGCGCGTGAAACGTTTGCAAAGCGTACGCAGGGTGCACGTGTCATGCCAACATCCTCCACATACGACGTAACTCCGCGCACGGATAGCGCTTTACAACCGCGATTCGTTGAGGCGACTAGTGCGCCTTCGGTCGTAGCCATGGGTACAAAATATTTACTGCCATCAAGCAGCAAAGGACCTGCATAACCAACTGGGATGGGCACATAGCCAAGTACATTTTCACAGCAGGCATTCATTACTTTGCGATAGTCGAAATTCAAATATGGCAGACATTCCAAACGTTCGGCGGGCACTTTAGCGCGTGCGCTAATCACTTGTCTACGAATGCGCACACCGCGAACTGGGTCATCTAAAATTGATTCGATTTTATGCAATGGACAGTGGTTGCCAGCGGAGTTAACGATTAAGAGAACTTCTTCGTCTGTAAGATTAGCGGGCCCACCCCATTCATCGAGAGATTGCAAAATTTCTAGGCATTCTTGCAGTGTGCGCGGTGGAATTGGTTGACGTGGACATAGCTGCAGTGCCATCGATTGATTCGCATCGGTTATGAGTTCAGTTTGTGTTGATGCATTAACAAAGTTATGTTCTTCGATTGTAAATAGTGGTACGCGATGAGGACGCGAATCGCCGACAGCAGGCGACACAACCAATTGAGGAACTTTAGTGGCAGGTTGAGGCGCATTCAACACGTCAGTAGCATTGATTTGTGGCGCGGATATTTTCATATCCATGGCAGCAAGAGTAGCCGTGTCTTGCAAAGGTTGCGTTTGGGACGATTTTACAGCTAGAGCGACTGTGGTTTGACGTAGTTGATCGTGCAGTTCATTGCGGTGCTCAAAAAATATAAATTTAACTACTAAAGCGATGAGAAGAATGAGTATGACAATCTGGTCAGCACTCATGGTGAGCCATCTAAACAAGAGTTACAAATAGAAGAATTTTAAAATTTTATACATATGAATATTTTGAAATTTTATAGGTTAGAAAACATTGTTTGACATTCACATAGAAGTGAATAGCTCAGTTGGTAAACCCCTGGTTACGACAGCTTCCTTGTTTTTGATTAGGGGAGAATTGTTCTCACTTTAAATTAACCCAGGGTCATTGAACAAAGATGAATTTCATCCGAGCTCTTGTAAAATGCGTGTTATTTTCCACGAAGAAAAAATTATGATTACAGTTGATAAAATAACCTGGTGGGCTTAGAGATGGAAAAGTAAAAAACATAAATACAAAATTTCACATCTCTTACTCACACTCCCTCTATACGACCTATACTTTTCCAAAGAAAATACTACAATCGGCACGATATCGACTAATCAGTTTAGTTGCGTTTGGGGCTGAACCCATAAAAGAAAGCGTTTTTTTTTCAACTGTAATCAATTCTTTACGTGCCATGCATTATTTATGTACGTGAAGGTATTTATAATTTATTTCGAATTTTCCTCTTTTTTCAGAAAAGTTGACTAGAGATGTAGATGCTAAAGATTATTAATAAAAAAAAAGTAAGAGCACCGGTCCGTCAGTTCTTTAGACGCACATTTTAGAGAATTTCATATAGTATTACAGCATATAATCGGCTATTTTCTCGCGATTTTTCTTATCCCTATTGTAATAAATAATTGAAATTATTGAATTTAACTTTTTAAACAGTTGGAAATATTTTTAGACCTCTGTCCATACATACATGTGTATTCAAATTACCTAATTCCTATAATTCATGTAATTTATAATATAATTGTATTTGAATTTAGTTTTAAAACGAAGGAGGCGCCCTTCTTCAAATACCTCGGAAAATTCTATATGTTCGAGCTGAACATTTGTAAACACGCTTACTTTTGACAGTCTACCATGAGTAAAATTCATTTAAATTCAACTTTTTAAACAGGGGGAAATCCTTCTAAAAATATTTTTTTAAGCCTCTTGGTAAATAATATAATTTTCAATAAATAATAATTAATTTTCAAACAGGTGGCAACCCTCCTACATGTAGTTTAGAACTAAATCCCTTTAAAAAACATTTCGATTGATGTCCACATTGTAGTAGTTCATTTAAATTAATTGAATTTAATCTTTAAACGGGTGGCAACCCTTGTAAAACACCTCAAGAAATGTTCAATATGAAGGTTTCTTAACAATCTTTCTTGACATACACTTTTTTAATATAATTTTCAAATAAACAAACCCCTTAATTCAAGTTGAATTTATTTTTCAAACAGGTGGCAGCCCCCCTACATGAGTATGAAATTGACTTTACATATGTATGTATATCCACACCAAGTTCCAGTACTCTATCACAAATATTTGTATGGGAGGTGCCACGCCCACCGTCTTATCGAGATTAAATCTATCCTATATTTTAAGTTGGGCTAAATGACACTAGTGTACAAAATTTCAGTTTGATCGGTTGAGTAGTTAAAGCGTGAAAGCGTAAGAAATCCAAAGAAACTCGCTTTCGAATTTATAATATTAGTAAGGATATCAATCCATCAGGAACACCCCTCATTTATGCAGTTAAAGAAGATTGCAGATATTTTATCAATTGCACTGCAATCATTGCAGTTATCCCTTATTAATAGTACATGGAATCAATAATGATACCCTGTATATATATGTATACTCACTTAATAATCATATCCGTCAATTCCCCCGACTCCGTACGATTAGTGTTTATATTTAAATTTAATTGTGGTGTCAAAGTCTTTTCCACCGTATCGTATTCAGTACTCGAGAACACCATGCGGCTGTAAATATGCACAATCATCAGTCCGGTGGTCATTATGATTTTTACACGTTGCACCACTGGATTAGTCTTTTGCTCTTCATCGTTCAATGCCTTCAAGAGGATAGAGTCTTTGGCTTTGGCACGCACCATTGACATGTCCATGCCATTGCGTGACAAATCGAGTATGAGTGACAAACATGCGGGGAAGAAGGTCATAAAGACCACATAATTAACAATCACCGACATAACGGCGAATGTGCACAGCACCTCCAAACGCTGTACGCCAGACAGCGTGCCCACGCCGATGACAAGCGTCTCGACAATGGTGTCCAAAGATATGGCTGGCCCCAGTAGCTCTAAGCCGCGCGCTATGTTATTCGTCACTTCAGCCTGATTGGTGCCGGTTAAAGCTAATTGCGCAAGCGTGCCTGAATTCGAGAGATCGATGAGCAGCAGCATAAAGAAGAGAGCATCTCTGCAACGAAGGGGAAAGGTAATACATAGAAATTTGTTGAAAAATTACGTTTAATGTGAGTATGATGAACAAATGCTTATAAAATTGCATATTGTCATAAGGAAGTGATATTCGTCATTTGAATTACATAAATAAAAGAATTTAATGGCTTTTACTCACTTTAAATCGGAGATATCGCTGCCCAGGAACTTTATTATAGTTGTCGTAAATATAAAACTCGAGAAGACTGTAAATAGTCCAGCGATTCCTGAAAAATAATGTGTTTTTTGTTTATTTTGAATTTAATTAGTATCTACTTTTATACATTTACAAATTTAAATAATGCGACAATTTATTTAATGCTGTATGCATGCTGAATTTAAAAGTGATTATATGTATATGCAAAAATATTTGTTCAGGTAAATTAATGCATACAGTACGATGCATTCATAAATCAAAGACAAGGCACAGGTGGGAGAGACGGCTCAAAAATCCAATAAATTAATGGAAAACTACAGAAACGAATTGTTTAGTTTTGTTTGTTTTTGCTGATAGTAAGGATTTTTATAAAAATGCACTACTTGTTATAAAAATATTCAAGAGTATGTTAAAAAAAATGCAGTGCAGGGAAAAGATCTGAAAGCTAATGATTTCTTGGAGAATTAAAATTAAAAAAATGGCTTAGCCTAAGTTTTAATCAGACTTGTCCAAAGGAGATGAAATCACGCCGTGATCAGACATGGCGAAGCAGTTATGGGAAAAATTGTGTATACTAAATTTTACAGTGAATTATCAAGTACTATGCACTTAAGTACCGAGTATGATAGTATCTACAATGATTCTACATACATACATACATACATACATTAAGTATACTAAATACTTTAAACAAATGTATTTACATAGTTTCACAGGACTTAATACCGATTGTAAAGTTTTTTAGCTATTTTTACCTAACTAAGTAAATACCAAGTGCAAAAGTACATACTTAGTTTTCATGGCTTCACATAACAATGTATAAAAGGTAAGGCCGAGAATTCTCGAAAATTCCGAAATAGTAAGGAAAATATCCTGAAATACTGGAAAAACCCTCTAAAATAACACGAAGTATACTGAAAGGCCCTGGGAAAATAATGAAAAGTTCCAAAAAAAATCCCCTAAGTCCTTAAAATGAAAATTCCAGAAAAATAAAACACGAAGCACTCCGAAAAATTTCCAAACAAATTCGGAGAAAATCTTGAAGTTTCGTAAATTCTAAAATCCCGAAGCATTTCTTTATTTTGTCAAACTCTAAAAAAATCGATTTTTCTTACTTTTCCCGAACAGTTTAGTATTTAGAAATCTACAATTATTTAATTACTTCTTAAGTAGCTTCTCCTTAATATTCGTAAAATAGTCATCGTAGTGAGCAAAAAATCTCATAAATATGGCCTGATTTAAGGGAAATTACTCAATGAACTGGGGTATAACAACAGATACAAAAAAAGATAAATTTTTGATCTACCATTTCAGGGAAAAGTTAAAATCCAGCGTGAGTACATGGCGTATGATTAACATTATCATCTCGTCTGGGTAACTCATACGCCATGTACGTACATTTATTTTAACATCTTCGTGATAAATGGTAGGTCAAATGTGGATCTTCCATTTTGAATTTTTAAAATCTGATATCAATCAGCGACCGTAAAACTAACTGTAAATATTTAAGCGAATCCAATAGGTTTTGATTTTTTTGTCTTCGCGAAAAGAGCGTCTTTAAAGCGGTGCAGTAAAGACGCCATTTTGAATTTTTTAATTCGCCACATTTCAATTGAAAGTGTATTACTTTACAAGTATTGTAAAATATTGCACGTTCATTTTCATTGATCACAATTTTGGGCAGAGCTCTGGGCCGGTTGACGGGAATGGTCCCTAGTGACGTGAATCTTTAAGATAGTCAAATCGGTTTGAGGTAAATCTTCAAATAGATGTCTCAAACAAGTTTGTTGTGAGTGCCCCACTTAAATATTATTTGATGACAGGCTGATTTGGCGGGATCCTATCAACAGAAAATGCAATGAAAAGCCAATAACTTCAATGACTACTAGGTTAAAAATTACATAAAATAAGTATAATAAACAAATCAAAAAAATGTTTTATATGTATATGGGTGTTTCCTGCGTTGCGGACGTTCCTTTTGGAGACACAATTTTTTTATTATAAAAACTATAGTAGGCTGTGAATGAACACAAATTTTTTGTCATGAGTAGTCATCATCAATACCTATCTGAAACCAATAAAAATATTTTCCACAAATGTTATATGATAAGTGAATAGCGATTAAAAGGTCCCGTTCGGACGTTCGCAAAATGGAACTCGTCTCGAAGATGACTGATGATTTTTGCTAAATTCTGCGAAACTGTTAACGGTACAAAAAATGATGTATGAATGGTTGTTAGAATAATAAGCAGCCATAACCATTGGGTCAACTTAAACTTCCTAACGATGTTTAGTAGCTGCCAAAAACTGTTCGAAGTTGTTCGGACGTTCCCGTTCGGACGTTCTGATTCTTTCCAATGGATACAATTTTTTGTTTAAGAATTTAAACGCACTAATTTTTTTAATGAAAATATGGGGTTTTATTGTAATAAATCTACATCTATATGAAGGCCTTACTTAACGTTCGTTGAAGTCATTTCCTCGTACAAGCAGACGTACATATCGACGCCTCCAAACCATACTATGCTAAGTCTGACTAAGTCTAAGCTGGCTTAGCATAGTATGGTTTGTAGGCGTCGATATGTATAGTATATACTGTTACTCACAAAATTGAGTATACTTTGTTATTTTTCGCAATGTTTTACATGCAAATTTTTTTTATTTTTGTTTTGTATTGAAATATGGCTTATATTTTAACAAAACCCATCTAAATCCAAGCTGTGTGAAGCTGTGTACGAAAATTATGAAAAATCTGCAAAGCAAACTTTTTAACACGAATTTCTAAAAAAAATCAGGTATGCAGTTTTATAGTCCATTCAGTTTTAGTGCAATAATGTGCAAATTTCGAATGTATAAACAATTCTCAAAAATCATCGCGAATTTTGAGACATTTGAAATTTGCACATTATAATACTAAAACTGAATGGACTATAAAATTACACGCATTACTGATTTTTTTAGAAATTCTTGCTAAACAGTTTGCAATTTTACTGAAACTTTGCAGTTTCATACTTGGATTTAAATGGGGTTTGCTAAAATATAAGCCATATTTTAATACCAAATTAACAAAAAGATTTTGTAAATACTAACAAAAAAACCGTATACTCAATTTTGTGAGTAACAGTATGTACCTACATAGAACAATATGAACAAAAGTTATTTGAAGCGTTCCTATAGCTTTCCGAAAAAAATTTATGCGACTGGCAAGAGTAACCAAAACTAGCTTTTGTATTAAAATTTTGACAAATGAAGTAAACGTTACGACTCTTTTTTTTACATGCTAAGTATATTTTGCGTCCGAACGCTTGAAAAAAAATTTGGAATTTAACTTTGGACCGTTCCTAATTTATTTTTACGTTACTTTTGTTGTAAGACTTACAGAACATAAGCTGTACTAAATTTTCGTATAGATTTCCAATATCGCAACTGAATTTTTGTGCGCTGTAGCAGCGGCCTTATATACCTGCCTCGCACTCATGGCAACTCTAGAACGTTCTGCCGTCTATCGCACATTATCTCATTCTCTCGCTGTTCACAGTGTTCCTCCACTTGATGTTTCTTGCTGTCGAATATTCAACGTCTTTCGTCAAACATTCTGCTATTTTCTTGTTGTTCGCTTCGCGTTGCCGCAGTATTTGCCACAATTAAGTTGCGTTCCCCAACTTTTCTGGATTAAAACCTGTAAAACTGTCAAGAAGCAAAAGAAGCGAGAGCACCGAGCACGGGAACGTTTTCTGGTAAATTTCTGTAAGTTCTTACAACTTCTTGCGAGTTAGGGAACGCTACTTTAATATGCATTAGGGTTATGAATTTGTGACTGTTTTTTGAATTTTTAAAAGCCTGTGGTGCCATGCTTAGCATATAACTTCGGCAAAACACCCAAATTTTGTGCAGCCTTAAAAAACCTCCCGCGCACGAGGAAATAAAAACTAGTTCAGTACAAAATTTTCAGGGAAAAAGTATAGCTTCATCGACGTTCTTGGCTTAATTATGGAAGTTGCGGAATATTTTGCAAACTATAGCTCAATGCAAAAATCGAAGAGTATATTCGTTATCAGCGACTTGCAATTATTTTGGATGGCTATCCTGTCATCTGGATTCTGACAAATGAATTGTAACGTTTTTGTAAAATTTTGCTCGTCTGTATTAGCATTGCATTTTTTTTTTTAAATTTATGTATTATTAACCTACGTTCGGACTTTAAACCTTTATGGTAAGTTTTGTGGCACTATTTTTCCTTACTTCTATTCCTTACCTAGAATTCTTAAATGAACTGATTGAAAAAGATTATCGAACAAAGTCCATTTTATTTTAGTAAAAAGAAAAAAATTAAATAGAAATACCGTTATGCGCGGAACCTAAATTTATATCTGCACAAAGTCATGTAACTTTTCACAGGCTTTTGAATCTAAAATAAATTCATAACCCTAGCTTGCATGTAAATACAATTAAAATCACTGCGTTCCTCTCCTCCTCCTTGCACTGCTTTTAATACACAAGTAGCGGATCCAAAGGAGCATTTTTAATTGCAATAGCTACATACATACATTATACTATGGCATTGCTAATTTTTTGCGATTTCAACAGAGCAGTAAAATGGTGTTCATGCCAAAATATGTGCGAATATTTTGTGACGGCCTTCGTTGCAAAGTTTATTGCAGCAATTCAGTGGGTTCTTATGTAGTCTATTTAGCAGCTGTGTGCCGTGTTAAAAATGTCGTTTCACTAAAATACTCCAATTTTGGTGGCGTGGCAATAAAACATAAATGAATGAGGGGGGAAAAACGGAACAAGAAACGCGTTGCATTTACCATAAGGCACGTAAGCGTTATTAACTTGATTTGCCTTAAAATACACCTGCATTCGAGTAGACAACCAACGTTTTCGAATATGTAGACATTGAATTTGAAAATAGTAGTTAAGGTTTTGCAGAGTTGATTAGCAAATAACATAAAAATTGACTGACAACTTACAAAAACTGAAGTAAGAGCACCAAATGTATGCGTTTGTATGTTTCACAGAATTTTTTCAGAAATTTATGTAGTTAGTTTTAGTGATTTCAAGCTTAAA